TAAAATGGGTAAATTTTCTGATTCATGTGGCTGTTTTTACTTCTGTTATAAGGGGACAAAAGCGTACAACAAATGACACTTTTGGAGTGGCTAAAAACGCATGGCACTTGAACATTAGTAGAGCATAGAACAATTTCATTCTTCATGCAAATCTACATAATGGAAACAAATATCCTTTGGTAAGGAATTCTTCCCAAGAATGGAGGTCCAGGATAAGATGACTGAACCTGACCCTTTTAAAAATGTAGAAGATTCTGAGATAAGCTAATTTAACTTTGTTTTACCAAACATCTAAGGTAGCAGAATGAAAATAGAGTCACCACAGGAAGATGCTTTCCCTCTTTTGGAGCTGTACTGTTAGAGACAGAGCACTTTGATTAGATTTCTCTTGATTCTAAAGTGAATAAAATAAGATGCATCAATTTTAGGCTTCTGCAACTTTTGTTGGAATACAGAAATGAGCAGCTGTTAGGAATACCCTTTTCAACCCTAATCAAGAGAAATGACCAGCAGTCTATTCTCTTTCAGTAATAGGAAGGTCAAAATCTATTTTATTTTGGTTTAGACTACAACATAATGTTTTTCAGACCCACCCCCATACCAGTGAATGTAAAATTTAAAAAAAGTGTGAACTTGCTGAACTCTCTGCAGTTTTGATAAGAGAATATCCCTGGAGAGCCATGTAGAATAGCTCTGCTATTACTCTCACTTCCAGATAATTATTAGCCAACCTCTCAATGATTTGTTTTTTGGTGTTTCTACTTTTTTAATAAGAAATGCACAACATAAGCCACTGAATATGAATTATTTTCTACAGAGCAGATTAAAAAAAATAAAGATATTGTAGATGGACACAATACCTTTATTTATTTATCTTTATGTGGTGCTGAGGACCAAACCCAGTGCCTCACACATGGGTAGGTGAGCACTCTACCCCTGAGCTACACCCCCAGCCCCTCGTGTTTTACTTTTATTTCATCTTTGGGTTAAGAGAGGCTGGCATAGCTCTTAAAGAAACTGAGTAGTATGTAGGGAAGCCTGCATTTTAATGAAGAAAATTCTTGTAAATTGAATTCACTTGGCATGCTTTGTGGAAAATTTTCCACATGGAGTAAAGTCTTGGTTTCACCATTAATCATGAGACACATAGCACCAGGTGCTCAGCACAAGATGGCGCCAGCGAGCTATAGAAGAAGTTCCACTTGACCACTTAGACCTTTTTTTCCCACCGCCCCCCCCTTAAAGCTCATCGCCTCTGCTTCCACCTTCCACTGAACAAGGCAGACAACCCACTCTATTATTTCTGGAGAAGAGGAGGATTAATGATACCAGTTTCTTACAAATCAGCTCTGGAAGCGCCCTCCTGAAACGCAGGAGCCGGAATGGAGCTTGATGAGTTTTCTTTGGGGTCTCCGCCTCCTGCAGCTCACTCCTTTCCCTTTGTCACTGCCCAGAAAGCCTCTACCCTCAGATTTCCATCTCTTTCCTTTCCTGAGGAGCCTATAGCCGAGAGGCGGGAGGTGGTTAAGGTTTCTGGCTGCTGTGCAAGGGGGCCATCTGTGTTTGATCAGTCCTGGCGGAAAGGAGGGGGTGGGGGTTGTGAGAGCCTGAAAGCATTCCAGAGTAGTGAGAGAGACCCGAGATCACAGAGCAAAGGCACCACCCCCGCCCCGCCTCCATGGCTAACCCACGGGCTCAGGGGAAGAGGCCAACAACACACTCTTTCTACTCTGGCCCCATTCTCTAGACTGCCATGGGGCCCAGCGCTCCTCTCCTCATCCTGATCCTTTTGTCATGGTCCGGACCCCTTCAAGGACAGCAGCACCACCTTGTGGAATACATGGAACGCCGACTTGCAGCCTTAGAGGTGAGGGACCCCTTTCTCTTCTAGCCCAGCCTGGGAGGATGCAATATCTTCTATTGATTCAACCAGTTCATCAGGGTTCTGGGAATGGTAAGACAGGGCTCTGTGAGAAGCTACAGAAAATTCTGCTTTTTAATAAAAATGAGCCTCAAAATTACAAGCCTTGATCTTTCTCCACGTAGAGCAATTCCTGAGCAGATAGACCTTTGTGTTTTACCCCTGGGGTTAGATGAGATAAAAGGACAGAGTGGAAATAAGGGCCAGGATTGAGGGAATGCATTTAAAGAAGAGCTGATGATTCTTTTGAAGTTGGAGGTTCCCAGAGAATCTCCAACTTCCTACCCTCCTTTTCAAAAACGGTTTCAAGTCCCTAGCATCTCCCCCCACACACATCGAAGTTCACAGCATCTTAATTCCCAAGAGGAGAATTACACAATGGAGCAGAGAGCCCTTCTCACCCTCATGCACTGAAACCTCCCTAGAGGCCCAGATGGCACTGCTCAGAGAGAACAAGTCCAAGGACTCTGGCCTGGGTGAATCTGAGCCATGCTCCTTGCACGTTGAGCACCTCTGAACATCTGCTTTCCTTTGCTGCGGGAGTGGAAGGGCATGTTTAGCTGAGTTTGCTCCTTTTCCCATTCCTGACTCCCTGCTTTGGCCTCCCCCTGCCTGGGAGTGGTAACCCTTCAGCCCACCCTCGCTCCCCATGCCCCCACCCCTTCAGGAACGGCTGGCCCAGTGCCAGGACCAAAGTAGTCGGCATGCTGCTGAGCTGCGGGACTTCAAGAACAAGATGCTGCCCCTGCTGGAGGTGGCAGAGAAGGAGCGGGAGGCACTCAGAACCGAGGCTGACACCATCTCCGGGAGAGTGGACCGTCTGGAACGAGAGGTGGACTATCTGGAGACCCAGAACCCAGCTCTACCCTGTGTAGAGCTTGATGAGAAGGTGAACGGAGGCCCTGGAACCAAAGGCAAAGGCAGAAGAAATGAGAAGTACGATATGGTGACAGGTAGGTGATCTCAAAGCGGGTCCCTCACACCTTCTGAAACTTTTTCTTACTTTTTTCTCTTTGTCCCAGTCCACTGTGGCCTCTGGAATCTGTTAGAGGGAAAAATCTCTGTAATGACAAGTTTGTTAAGAAGAGTTTCTAGGGACCTGGGTCTCTGGAGTCCTGTCTTTCTCCATCTTCCCTAAGACTGGAGGCATCCACAGAGCGGATGCCAGCTGTTCCCCAGATGGGCCACCCAGCTGGAGTCCTCACTGTAGGCATCTAACTCCTGCCTCTGTTTCCTTTTCTCCTTCTCCACCAGACTGTGGCTACACCATTTCTCAGGTGAGATCAATGAAGATCCTCAAGCGGTTTGGTGGCCCAGCAGGTCTATGGACCAAGGATCCTTTGGGGCCAACAGAAAAGATCTACGTGTTGGATGGAACGCAGAACGACACAGCCTTTGTGTTCCCACGGCTACGTGACTTCACCCTTACCATGGCTGCCCGGAAAGCCTCCAGAGTTCGTGTGCCCTTCCCCTGGGTAGGCACGGGGCAGCTGGTATATGGTGGCTTTCTTTATTATGCCCGGAGGCCTCCTGGAGGACCTGGAGGGGGTAGTGAGTTGGAGAACACTTTGCAACTCATCAAATTCCACCTGGCAAACCGAACAGTGGTGGACAGCTCAGTGTTCCCCGCGGAGAGGTTGATTCCCCCCTATGCGCTGACGACAGACACCTACATTGACCTGGCAGCTGATGAGGAGGGCATCTGGGCAGTCTATGCCACCCGGGAGGATGACAGGCACTTGTGTCTGGCCAAATTAGATCCACAGACACTGGACACAGAGCAGCAGTGGGACACGCCGTGTCCCAGGGAGAATGCCGAGGCTGCCTTCGTCATCTGTGGGACCCTGTACGTCGTCTATAACACGCGCCCTGCCAGTCGGGCCCGCATCCAGTGCTCCTTTGATGCCAGTGGGACACTGACCCCTGAACAGGCTGCTCTCTCTTACTTTCCCCGTCGATACGGTGCCCACGCCAGCCTCCGCTATAACCCCCGTGAGCGCCAGCTCTATGCCTGGGATGATGGCTACCAGATTGTCTACAAGCTGGAGATGAGGAAGAAAGAGGAGGAAATTTGAGCAGCTAGCCTGGTCGTTTCTGCATCTCTTATCCCCATACATTTATATCCCTACTAGATTTCCTGCTCTTCATTCTTCCAATATAGGCAAGTTATGTCTCAGATCCCCTATTTTTTAACCAACAACAACCAAATTCTCACAGCTCCTTTGTTTCATATGGAACTCTAGATCTTGAGTAATCTTTTTATAGCTAAAAGAGTAAAAATCCTAAATATTCACTCCTGTTCTCCTTCCCCCTGTCCACAAATTAGGCCCCAAAGGACCCAGACCCAGTCCTCTGATCCTCCCTCATGGGAAAATGCCAGGCATCAGGCTATAGTATTCTTGCCCTCAGTATGACCCAGTGGGGAGAAGAATGGAAAACAGAGACACACGTCTGCCCTGTCTCCTTTATAAAAAAAAATATCTCCAGTGTCTGAAGAATGGGAATTTCTCTGCATCGTTTTGTATAGCAATATATTGCATTAAAAGAAAAATCCACTCCTCCTCTCCTGTGTGTGTTTGGGTAGACCTCATACCAAGTTCTCCACATGGCCCATCATTTTATCCCTCCCGCCCATCTCTCACATTAGGAACTTGGCTGAGCTCCCTGAGCTGCAAGAGTAAGGGCTTCTCTGGTTACAGATTTTACTGTGAGGCGCCTGGGAAGCAGCAGAATCCCGCCACTTTAGGAGGTTGGACAAAAGGCCTGCCTCCACACCCACCAGCCACCACAGCAGCCATCCCTGAACTGCCAGTGGCGCCGTGCCTCTGGCCACAAGACACTGGGACCTAGGGCAGCCCTTCCAATTCTGATAGAGGATTCTGAACCAGAAAATGATGTTTCTTATTTGTAGTCCAGTGTGGAAACCAGAATGCAGAGTACATGTGTTTTTACTGAAGACTAAGTCTTACCTCTGGAGTGGATTCTGTCCCTCTCCCTAAACCCACATCCAACTCTGGGCTCTTCCCCAGGGCTGGGTTGCACAATCCTTGGTCTGAACCGCTCTGATTTTCCTGCTGCCACAGCGTCTGCGGTTTGGGCCTGGAGGAGGGGCAGTGGCTATCCCAGATGTTGGTCTCACCAGTTCCCCAACACATCCCCTTCTCTCCACCGCATCACTCCACCTAGCAACCCAGTCCTGGGACCTGACTGCAGACTGTCCTGGAGAACTGGGAACTTAACCCTTCCCAGCCTCTGGCACAGGATTGCACATGACCATCTGGGGAAAACAAGATCTGGGGGGCGGGGGAGCTTCAGGCTTCTGCTGATCTCTGCACTATGGCCCCCAATGTTCAGCACGCAGGAGCCTGATGGACAAAAGGCACTAGCCTCATTTGCCTGAGGTAGCCCCGGGAGCACTCTGGGTTATTTATCCTTGCTGGAGGGGGGAGGAACACAGTCTTCTCTCCAAAGTGCAGTCCTCCCTCCCTCCGCCCAGGACAGGGTGGATCCTTCAGGGCCTGCGATCCTCCTTTTGTCTTCTTGTTCTTTTCTCCTCAGACAGAGCTGCTCCTGACGTAGGTTGGTGAGGAAGGAGGAAGAAAGGCAGGGAGGCACCTCACAAAGGCTCTATTGTAGGGAGCCCTGGCGGAGGGGGCTCACTCCCATTCAATTCTCTCCTAATGTGGGGCTGGCAACAGTAATCACCGCCTGTCAGCCCACAGAGGGGTCTGCCCACGGAACATCTGGCTCTAGAGCAGGGCGCACAGGAAGGGGTGTGGAGGAGGAAGGGAGTTCTCAGTGGAGGCCTGGAGAGCAGGGTCCAGGCGATGAGGGACTACAGTGTGGTGCTGTGACCGTGTACGTGTGTGTGTGTGTATGTGTGTGTGTGTGTGACTGTTCATGTGTGCGTGTGCGTGTGTGCACGTGTGCAGGGGCAGGGCTCACTGGTGGCTTCCCAGTGTGACTGGCCATGTCTGATGGGGAGCTACTAGAGGATGGGACTGGGTCTGTGGAGTTTCCTTGAAATAGCAGTAAATATCCGGGTAGCTTTTTGGTGACCCTGACAGGGAAACAGTTCCAATACTTTGTGTGTAGATGACCTCAATTCAAGGAACAAGTATACAAAGTACATTTTTAATGCCAATCCCATGAAGACCTGGTCCTTCTGCTCACACAAGCGCGTGCTTGTCTCTGTGGTGTCTTTCTTTGCCTGATTCCTCAATGAGAAAGGGAAAAAGTGTTTCTGGGAATTGTTTTTTTTTTAAGCTTAAACTTTCCTTGGAGAAGTTCACTCAGACTTTTCTAAAAGGGCAGACATCTCTGGGGCCTTGTCGTTTATTACTTTTCAAGTTTCCTTTTTGGCTTCTGTAGCTAGTGCTATTTTTGGAAGCTATGTATATATGTGTGTGTGTGTGTGTGTGTGTGTGTGTATATCTATATATATATATTTTTTGGTGGTGCTGGGGATTGAACCCAGGGACTTGTATATGTGAGGCAAGCACTCTACCAACTGAGCTATATCCCCAGCCCTCAGAGGCATTTTGGAAGGTGAGTGGAACCCTGTGGGCAGATGCAGTGAACTGTCCAAATTCATTCAACTAAATTATCTGAGGCTCAAAGAAACAGCCTGGGTAGCTGACTCCTATGGTCAAAAAGCAGCTTCATCAGCCTCATCACCCCTTCTCAGACCCTCCCTGGCCTGTCACTTGGTGGAAATCTCTGGTTTGTTTGAACAAAAGACTGCGGAAGGCAATGACCATAATAGAGGATGAAGAGGTTAAAAGTCCAAGTTCTGCATCTGTGTCCAGCCCCATCCTAGGACAGTCAGCAGCCAGGAGGGGGGCTGGGGGAGGTTCGCATCAGGAGCCAGGAATGGCCATGGCTGTGGAGGTACTGACGCCCAGCTTGTTGGTCAAACTGTTGCTTTTCCATCACAAGACACGGTTGAGAGGGTCCCCTCATCCCCCAGGGTCAGGGTTTCCTGCCCTACCTGCTAAGCTCTCCCCTTTGTTCTCAATGTCCTCACCTCCACGATGCTGGTCTTAGCTCCTGCCTGCAGTAGAAATCCAAGTGTTCATCTGGTTTTCTGAGTCGAGGCCTGTTGCCAGTGTCGTCAGAGCCCTGGATGGTGGGGAGGCAGAGGGCAGAGATATTGAAGGATGGAGTTGTTGATTCAGCTGTCACTGTTTCCTCTGGGATGGGACCAGAGCAAAACAGGAACCAAACCCTTTCCCTCCTTTTCTTCCTCCTCTAGCCTCAGGGTTTTCTGGATCCCTTCTCAGTTACTCTTCTTGTGGGGGGGGGGCCCTCCCTGAGGCTCCCGGGGATGTCCTTTTGCACTGCTTCCTGTCCACCTGGCTTATGTCAAAGCATGCTCTTTTTGAGAGCTCTTGGGCTCTTGGCAATTCTCCTAACCTTCAGGATAGGCCTCTTCAGGGCCTGCTGTCAGCTTCTCTCTGACAGCTTTGCAGTGTGACCCAGGGACGTCTTCTGCTTTCTTTGGCCAGAGAGCAGGGTTTCCTGCCAAGCTCAGCCCTGTCAGCCGCTGCAGCCTCCGGGTTCCTCTGCCTCAGCCACCAAGGAGGGTAGTTTTTCTCCACTTGCTCTTCAACTTCTGCTCTCTCAAGGCAGAGCTTCACAGATTAAATCTTGGTCTATGGGGCTGGGGATGTGGCTCAAGCGGTAGCGCACTCGCCTAGCATGCGTGCGGCCCGGGTTCGATCCTCAGCACCACATACCAACAAAGATGTTGTGTCCGCCGAGAACTAAGAAAAAATAAATAAATGTTAAAATTCTCTCTCTCTCTCTCTCTCTCTCTCTCTCTCTCTCTCTCTCTCTCTCTCTCTGTCCCCCTCTCTTTAAAAAAAAAAAAATCTTGGTCTATGGACTTAGTAACTGCACAGAAGAATTAGAAATATGGAAGCCAGTGTATTATTGAAAGGACAGGGTGATAAAGTAAAAAAGAAGAACCCCCAGACCCTTCTCATCAAAACCTGGGTTTCTGACAATACCTCTGGTCCAACACCTCTCCCTTCAGAACACTCCAGCATGTCCTCCTTACTCCCTGTCCATACCTGTGTGGCCCAAGAAGAACAAATCAAATTCTGTCTCCTGGGGATTAAGAATTACAGAACTGAGATGTTAGATCCGAGGAAGCGTTTGCCCTTCGCCGAGAGGCAGTGAAAGCCAGACTGCAGGGCCAGGTGATGTTCAGAAACAGGCAGGAGGGGAGAGCCGCTGATCTTGGCTGGTGTTCAGGGCCTGGCTCCAGCCGTCCCTCCTGAGCTCACAGTAGAACCCTCTTGGGTTCTACAAAATGCCTGAATCCTTAAAATAAATATCTCTTTTTGGGGTTTATTTGCTTTGTTTGTTTTTTTGCTTAAGTTAGTATGACTGGGTTTCTGTTTCCTGCAACCCAAAGATAATTCCTCATCTTCACCTTCCCTCCCTTCTCTCTCCATAAAAAAAAGCACCCCATGCCCTGGGCTGCTGGGACAATGACTGCTTAGAGTGTTATTCCCAGAGGACTCAGAGGACTAATGGAAGAGCTGTGGGAGCCCTGTTCTGAATCATCTTGCCAAGGATGGCTCAAGTCAGACCCCCACAACACGGCCCATTGCAGGCAGCCTGCTCAGTTACTCTTTTCTGTTCTGTTTGCTCATGGTGGTTATAGCTCAGATCTTAAGGGCTCTCCAAAGCTCATGTGTAGAAGGCTCGGTCCCCAGCTGATAGCACTATTGGGAAGTGGCACCTGTTTCTTATCACAGCTCTCTGCATTACCAGTAGAGTTGACAGGTGTCTTGCTCCAACTGTCAGAAGAAAGCAAGGTATGTCCATCATCTCCTCCACCTCTGTGCCTGGACCAGCTCTGCTCTGCCAGAAACTCTGTGTGTGTGTGTGTGTGTGTGTGT